CATTCGGTACTATTGGCAGCTCTGTTGATTGTGCCAGTGGAGGACCAACTTTCCAGCACTAGCCTGTCCATTTTCTCATTGGCCCTGCCAATCACGCTCGCTTTTTCAAAGGCAAATTCGAGTTTGAGCTGTTTCACATGGCCATAGACTAAAGACAACTTGTCCTTGCGATTGATTGCAAGTTGATGTTCGTGCAATCTTGTGCGCAAGCGTTTGCCCGTCTCTCCAAAATACCTCCTCTCACAATTTTTACATGGTAGGCTGTAGATAACGGCTGATTGCTCAGTTGCTGGCGGCGGGTATTTGGGCTTCATGATTTGTTGTCTGATTGTGCAATCTGGTCTATGCGTCACTCCAATCTTAAAGGGTTTTAGGATTCGTGCAGTCGCCTCTGAAACGTTTTTCACGTAGGGGATGGCGAGCCAGAATTTTGGTTTTTCTTCTTCGCTCGACCGATGAACGCGAGGTTTCTTCAAGCGCAAAGGTCCAAGGTCAAACGTCGGAGGACAAAGGTCACGTCAGCCCACCAGCAGCCAACCTCCGGGAGACCGAGTGCAGTGATGAAAGCGAGAAGATTTTTGAAACGTCAGTTCAAAGACAATTTGGTCCATGAAACCGCCCCCTCTTCCTCTTCCTTACCTTTGGGAGATGATGATCACTCACCTCTGTATGACCTCCTGTTGCTTGTCCGAAGTGCCGTACACCGGCACCAGAAGAATGAAACAGCCTTCGGGAGGTTGACGCTGGCACCAGTAGGACAATGTCCACCAAGTTGAGGCCTTTTTGGCGTACAGATAAGTCCAACTTTGGTCATCTTTGTAGTAGAAATAGGCTCTGCAGGGTTGTAGTGGTGTGTTGACTCCATCTGACACGGGCATTGGTTCGTCAGGCGTGACGTTCGTATTGAAGCATGCAGTTAAGTTTGGCAGCTTCTCATTCACTCTCTTATTATACTTGGAAATCATGTTGTTTTTCTTAGAAAACTGTCTCCGCTGGGGCACAACTGGGGGTTTGGCTATGACTGGTTGATGATAGCTAATGAGCCAGACATGGCCATTCAGTTTTCCTTGTTTTTGCCGACAATGCTATCTGCCTTGACTACTAGCTACTGTGCTAGGGCTCTAGAATGAGCCCAAGGCAGAGTGGGACGAGTGAGTTCCGTTAACGATCGGTTATTGTTAATTAACGACATATATTTCTTCCGTTTCTGCTACTGTTTCCTATTCATGTCTCTGATGATGAATCCACGACGGATGTCGAAACCTCTGGCGAATAAAAATATTTTCCCAGCGATTGAGTTTTCTTCTTCTTCTCCTTCTCTATATTTCTTTTTTTCGAAATCACGTTATGCCACGGACACATCTAAAAATACGTTTTTTTCCTCATCATGTTAACTGCAGATATACTTTTAACTCGACAATGTTGTCTACTGTCTTGAGGCATTTAGAAATATGGTCAACATAACTATCTTCATAAGAAGTAATATCCAAAGACATTTTTTCCGGTAAATGGTTTATTCTGTTCCTTACTTTTAACGCTTATATGTACATGCCGAAAATAATATTTGTAAATGGACACAGGCCTCAAAACATTAAAAACACTTTTTAATCTCGTGAGAAATTAATTTCTGTTCATGCTATATAGCCATTATATCTCAGGTCTATAGGCATATACCGAAATTGTAAGTGTACATTTGTGTTGCTACCTGATGGCAGCAGTTGTATATTGCACGGGGGTTGACGGGCTTCAACACAAATTTACACTTAAATTTTCGGTCTACGCCCAAAAACCTTAAATAGAATTGCTATATACCGTTAACAGAAATTAATTTTTCAGTAGATTACCTACTGAACTCTCAAAACTAGCATAGTAAACAGAAAGCAGATAGAGAAAGCTGGGGGACCCACTGATGAGCCGGAAGCCTCGCAGCTGTGTCAAGCAGCGGTAGAATACCGGCGCAACACGTGTCTGGGCCTTCTAGCAAGTACCTAGGCTCTAAGTATAGTAATTTACAACGTCAATTGAAAATACTGGGAAATAAATCGACCTTTAAAGGTTCAATTCTAAGTAATTGTTCTTACATAACCGCAAAGGGTTAAACTTATTTTGACTAAAGGCAATTTCTTGCATAAAAAGTTGGTCAGGTTATGTATTCAAACCTTCATTAAACGAGATGTTCGAACTCTCACGAAGCCTACGCGCACGCATGTCTCGTATGTTTGCTCCTCCTCCCTCCACATTTTTATAAGTGCCAACCCCCTCCCATGGCCGTGAGGGCTTTCCTTTATGGCAGGCCGTGGGCTATATTGAGACCTGTGACCGTAAAAAACTAATTAAAAATATTCTTCTGAATTATGCCCCTAAAACGAAGCACCTTTCAGATATCGCATTTCTGTTCCTTTACTCTTCCTGCTTTATTCTTAATGTCACATAAGTTAAAAAAGTTGTTTTCAAGTAGAAATAACACGTCAGCACGTTTTTTGTGCCGTTATGTTCAAACCCGTAAAGTTTCGGTTAAAAAGCCACACTCCACCCAATCGGTCGCTGTATATACCTGATCTTATACCGACAAGACCATGAGCTCGGAGCTCAACTATTAGGACGTTGGCCCTGATGGGAGGGATCGCGAGTTTAAATCTCGGCGTGCAGCAATTTCAGTGGCCACACTAGAGTTAGGTATCACTAGCCGATAACGCCCAATGAGGCATAATGGGCCTCCCTAGTGCCTCATGTTTTTGCTGGTAGTGCCTTCTGACTCTATTATTAAATGTAAGCCTATGTGTGGGGATCTGAGCTCCATAGTATTTGGGATGAAACGAACTAAACATGCAGTGTTGTGCCAAACAAGTCTTCTCAAAATGAACTTAATTCTATGTCTGGTTTCGGCAAAATGAAGACAATCGTGAAGAAATAGGTTATTTTTCAAATCAGATGCGTTCTGTTAATACTTTTAACCCTAGCTTTTTAAATCTAGCTTGTTAATCACCTTAATGTAGACGTACACATTTGGTTATACCCGCTGATATTATCCCAAGGATAAAAAACGCTTTGTGAGAAATTGCAAAACCGTCCGCAATCTGACAATCATTTATATGGTTATAAATATAAACGTATACTCATTGATCAGCAAAATGGGCATTATTTGTTCACAGTATCAGAAGAAAAACAAGCGTATTCATATTCTCACAACCGAAGCTGGATTAGGATAATATTGTGCATACGCCATGTGCAGCGCACGTGGAGTCTAATTTATTGTACTACAGATGTATGCATCA